TTTTAGAAAAGATGGAGGCTTCCATTTTATTGCCCTTTGAAAGCTGAAAGCCGATGGTCTAAAGGAAACACCACAGGCATAATTATTGGCTAGGTTAGGAACTTATATGTTAAGTTGTTGATAACAACTTTCTGTTATTAATAAGGTAGTCAATACTGTACTGGCATATGTATTGATTTTGTTACGAAAATGATACATATCAAATATCGAAATTTTGCATCTACCATTTCATATTTATTGCTATAAATATATATTTTTATAAATTAAATATCAAAATTTAAAATAATTATAAGAGAAATTAATATAATTGGAGATAAAATTTGAAAAAACCTTTTGAATTAATAACAATCCTTTTTTTTTTCAACCATTAACCGAAACCTATTATAACCCAAACAAAGGTCCTTTGGATAGTTTAAGTTAAAGACATCAAGATAATGATAATCATTAAATAGATGATAACAAATCGCATTCAATTTATAAAAACTAAAAAGATTGAATGATGAACAGATACCTAATGGGTTCATCACAAGAGTTTTTCAATTGTTTCTGTCAAGGGACAATTATGAACAAACAACAAAATTAATGATTTTCGATATAATTATAAGGATCATTATCTGGAGGATTTTTATAACCTAAAACTCCATCAACTCCAACCCAAAGTTGTTCACTTTCATTTTCAGGAACCCATTGGACATCTTCCTCATCATAAACAACACTATCAGTATCATCAAGGATTTGATTTGGCAAAGACTCATCAATTGCTACCCAATCTACATCATAATCATCTTTATCAAGAAGAGTTGGTTCCTCAGCCACCCAATCAGCTAATATGTCAATATTTTCAGGATTAAGAGGATCCATTGCTTCTTTGCCCCTATAAATAATTCTATAAATAAACAAAAATTACAACTAACACTTGTTTGATTTCTATATAAAACATAAACGTGCATAAAATATATGTAAAAAAATAAAAATAAAAAACTAAAGCAATTATAATACTTTTAAGATATTATACTTTTCTCGAAACTTCAAATTATAACGAACAAACATAAAGGCATTCAACCTTTCATGTTCTAGCCTATTCCTCCTCTTAGAATGAATAAATTCAAAGCACTCCAATTCCTTTCACATCCAGTTGCACTTGTGCATTGGCTAAGCACTTGAATTGCAAACTTTTGCAATTCTAGTGCATCCATTCCAAATTGATCCCAACATGCAATTATAAAAACAATAAAATACAATGTGCATTGAAATAAGTAAAGTAAAATTTTTTTAAACAAAATGAAAAGAGGGTTAAGATGAAAGAAAATTACTTGGATTTAACTTTTCTCTCTGATGAATAGCCAAACTCATGCCCAAAGTCCCTATAGCTTTTTTATACTCCTCAAGTTGTGAACTAATGAGATCTTGCTTATCCTCATTTGGTATCAATGTTGTTAAAGTATTAAGCAAACCTCTTGTAATAGTAGTTTGTTTGTTGAGGCTAGGCTTAAAGTAGATACATGGATTAAGAAAGCAACCAGTTGCATGTAATGGGCTATAAAGTTGTTTATCCCATCTAGCATCAATCACATTAATGTAAGGCATGTAGTGAGACAACCTATTATTAAAATTCTTTTTTTATTGTCTCCTTTGCCTTATCAATTGCCTCATACAGGTAGCCATAGTTGGCTTCTCTTCATTATCCACAAGTCGAAGCACTCTCACCAAAGGCTCACTGATTTTGACAACTAATTTGCAATTAAACCAAAATTCTTTATCTTCCAAGACAATTTCACATATTTCTTTCCCCACATTGCTTTTTGTATACCTAGAATCAACCCTTGCATCACTTGTAAACATTTGTCTAAGTTCCTTCTTGAATTTCAACAAACATTGGATGCTCAAAAAATGAGTAGCAAATCTC